CACTCGGTAGAATACATTCTGACTTTTATCTATCAACTTTTGACCAGAATAATATAATATCAGGAGCTGAATTAGCATGCCTATGATTACAAGGACAAATCTCATTACTTTTTCTAATTGATCTAATACATATACGATCTATAATAGATAAAATATAATATAGTAGATAAAATATGTAAAATAATAATATATATACATATATTCATACATGTGCACAGGTCAGGATAGATGTTGAAATCAAAGAAGAGATTGTTCAACATACAAAAATAAGTCGGATATATAAAAAAAAATTTTTGTATTTCAAGGTAAAACTATTCAGAGACCTAAATAGGATTACGTTGTTCACCGAATGTTAAACAAAAATAAAATACATGTGGCACTCAGATGATGTATTCGAATCTCTCAAAATGCGTTTATCGGTGGCGCTTGCCTATTTCTTTATCCACGTCGAATCGAGTTGTCGCTTCTTCTAAAATTTGATTGAATATTAGAAATTTTTAGCCTAATTAGTCGGCCCCCTATGGTTTTTTTTTGTGAATATCGAATTTCTAAATGTTTCTTGTGGGCTCCTAATTATTTTTAGTTGCGAATTTTGAAAATGTTTCGGCAAACATGCGGTTCCTTTTTCTCAAATGGTACATAGCTAAGATTTTTTGAAAGGTGAGAAGAGATTTTTTTTTTTAATTTAGAAATTGTGACTATTTTTCTGCTGTAGTATATACTATTTTGTTTTTGAGATAATAAAAGTTTGTCGGATGTACGAGCGCATTTATATATGTAGTTAAAATGTAATTATTAAAATTATTAAATGTATGTTATGAATTAATGTTATTCATAACACTATTAATATAGCTACTTATAATGGAAAACCTTAAATCGAAAGTTAAACAAATGCACATGTATTCGACAAATTTTAAATTTAATTATCTTGGAAATAAAGCATTATAAAAAAATTTTAATTTTATCCGATTTATTTTATATGTTGAATAATCTTCTATCTATTTATGTCACTCATTCTAATCCATATATATATATATATATATATATTTATTTATTTATTTATTTATTTATTTATTTATTATACAAACGTGCGCATGCATCTAGATATAAAGGATTTTTATTTTTTGATAGTTAAATTTTAATTTTTTTATTTTCTCTATAAAGAATGCATAATATAATAAGATGTATAAAAATAATTGCTTACTCGAATTCCAACTAGACTTACAGTTGCTCCAGTTAATAATAGCATAATTAATGCCACCGTTCGATACATCAAATTCAATATATCGACAAATCTAATAAAATAATAAAATGACAATGTTATAAATAATATTTTTTTCAAATTGTGGAAAGATTTAAAGAGAATTTTTTACTCTAAAGCAATTTGATATTTTTTTAAACATATCACGTATTCATGATATAGGATTTCCTTGCTTGATAATCGAGTTCTTGATGATCGAGTTTTGTGTTTATGCAGTATCCATATTTATTAATTTCTTTGTTGACGTCCAGTTTTGATATTATCTTCTCAAATTGACTATAGAATTTTTATAGTTTTTTTGCTAAAAATTATAAAAATAAAGCTACTCGTATACGTACTCAATAATCGAAAAGAGACAAGCGTGAACGGTACAAGTGACATGCATAATATCGACAATCATGATAATTACACCTGTTACAATTATACTCATATTATAACAAAATATTTGTCCTTATCTATCCTCCATTCTATAGAAACTGCGAAGAATCGCACTCGGGATTCATTAAGAGGCCGTACGATGTCAAATAATATTGATGTTAATGGAGTCATGAAAAATATTAATAACATGGAATACATTAATACTGTAATTTTATAAAAGATACATTTTTATGTATATATTTATACAGTACATGATTTAAAACATTGAACTTTTTTTATAAATTTATATATCATTATATTCATTAAAAGTAGTTTACCATTTTTTGCACTAAGTGTGTATTTATTCTATAATACACATTGTTATTATCCAAATATTTCTTGCAATTACTTATTTGAATAAAATATTGTAAATTTTCGTGATATGATAGAATAATCTTTAAGGATACGCATTTCAAATTCATTTGTAAACGTATTCCAATGATTCTCTATGATTTCGTATAGACATCGTATCTGATAATAATATAAAACTCTTATTAAATTAATTAGTAAATATTGGATGAAACGCTGTTCTCTCTGTATCCATGTACTTTATCATGATTCCAAAAATTATTAAATAGTTTTGTAACAAAAATAGTTAATAGTTAAAACAATTTGGTAGCAGCCTTCGAAAAAACCAACCGCGCGTTCTTCCAATGGCCATACAACATTAATATCTAAGTGTCATTAAGTATTTTTTTAGAATGATAATAATTTTCAAACATTTATCGTATTTATACACAAAAAAATGTATGAATGTACCAACAAGGGATAGCAACTTATTTGAAGCACAAGATAGCAAATCGGTAATAAACTTCTTACTAGTTTACTTTAAAACGGTCAAAAACCCAAATGGGATAATAATATTTTATTGAAATTATATTCTCATAAAACATGCATCAGCATAGTATCCTGTTTTCTGTTTGAATATTATTACAATAATATTACAATAAGACTGACACGTGTTGCATATGTCATTGATCCTTCAAATTTCCAGTACGTATATGAAATTATGGGATGTCAGGAATCGTCAGGACGAAATAAGTTTTTATCGCAGCTATCTACATATCTATTTTCTAACCGAATTGCTATTCCCTCTTTTTTGTATATCTCATAGCATTTATAACATTTTCTTTCTTAGCAATGCTTACATGTATAAAGTAATGATATGACGCAATAAAAATGTCATAAGAATAATAATAATGAAATTGAGAATGGACACCTGTGCTCTGTCTTTGTTTTATGTCATCGTTTTATTGATCAACTACTATTACTGTTACATTAATCGACTACATTTACCACTTATAATTTGTAATGTGAGTTGTAATTGTTGATAAGCGCTGGTGCAACGAAATTTCATGTGTTTCTTTTATATTCAAACATTCTATAATCGTTTATTTAATAATTTCACGATTCGATTCATAAAGATCTAATAATATAGAACGAGCAAAAAACTAATACTGTTATGTATATAATAGTTAACAGTAAGTAAGTTAATAAAACTTATATACTGTTTACTCGAATTTCAATCAGACTTATAGTTCCATTCAATAATAATAGAAATAACGTAATAACTTGATATATTGAATTTAATATATTGACAAACTTATGAAACAATAATAATATAAATATTTTAATATAAATCCATTTTGTATATAAATAACCTATGTAAATAAGTTTACTCTAAAGCAAGCTGATATTTTTTTAAACATATTATATATTGCCGATATATTTCATGCTCGCCCGACAATTCGAGTTCTTCATTCAAAATACGTCCACGTTTGTAAACTTGTTTTTTGACATCAAGTTTTGTTAGTATTTCTTCGAATTGCTGACTGCAAAGTAAAATTTTTATTCATATTTTACAAAAAAATTTAAAATATTGTATAAATATACCTGATAATTGAGAACAAATTGCAAGCATGAACAGTACAAGCGACGTACACAGCATTAACATCGACCATAGTAATCCCACCCAACACTATTATACAAACTATATTGTAACAAAAGATCTCCCTCTTATCTTTTGCAATTTTTAGCACGAGTTGCAATCGTTAATAGACGCAGGTGTAGTTGGTTTCAAGTGTTTCTTGTGCCCGAGCGGAGTCGACGAATTTCCACATGTCTCCGTGAACGATGTGGAGAAAGCCTTTCTGCAATTGCTGTCTACGAAAACTGTGCTGGCGGTACAGATTGCATCACACATTGCTTACATTTTCATTAGATGCGTTTGCAACGACTAATCGCAGATGTGCTTGCAGTTTCACGCTGAATGTGAGGAATCCGAGGGAACAAATCTGTTAACCGGTAATGTACAAGTAACATTTTCATCTTTTTGCGGAATCAACTTTTTCATATCTTTTAGATGATCCAAAAATGTACGAAACTTTTTTACGTAGTCGTCCTGATCTCATGGAACTTAATGCCGTAAAATTAATTTGCGATTGGTGCATAAAATATAAGTAAGTTAAAGCGAGAGAGAGAGAGAGAGAGAGAGAGAGAGGAAGAAAAAGTAAAATTAAGT